GTATTGCGCGCTTGATTGATGAGGCGGTGCTGGGGCTGCCCCGCAAAGTGCGGCGAGGCGCTGCCCTGCGAGGGCCGTGGGCCAGCCCCGCTGCATCGCCAACTTTATCCTGTGCACAGAATTAGTGTATCAGGAGCGCTCAGGGTGAGGGAAGTGCAAGCTGGAGCAAGCCCTCGCGGTTCGCGGCTGCTGCACTGCGGCACGGTCACCCGGCCTTGTGCCCTCGGGTGACACCGTGCCGCCGGCTCCGGCACTGGTCGACCTGCCGGCCTGGAGCGCGGAGCAACCTACTGTATGGGATCCTCTTACCTATGTGTACATGGTCCCCGTACCCGAGCAGGTAGCACTCCCCCACCGCGTCATAGAGCTTCGTCGCTTGTTTGGCGGCCATCACGGATGTCTGTATGGCGCACTTTGGTCGCGAGTTTTTGCGCTGCACCTAGCTCTAATCACCCGGCGTACAGGTAAGGATTTGAGAGTGTTGAAGCCCTCCAACTTACCGACTGCGTGGCCGCTGCTTTCGGCGCGTGCTGCCTGGAATTATTCTGTGACTAAATCAAATTGTTAGCGATGGTATCGACACCGTAGACACTTGTTGGAGCGCCTGCACCGGCAACTGGCTTGCTCACTAGTGCCGCCGCCTGCACATGGGGCGGAACTGGGGGCTACCCGCCGCAAGACTGCGCCAAATTAGCAAGAACACTTTGAAAGAACACTTTTTTACTGGAGTGTCTGGTGCGTCTGCAGGCAAGCAGACGCAGGGGATGCAGTTGGCGGGACGTGGCTCGCTGCTGCCTTGCTGACTGTACCGCCCGGCCTCACAGTTGGAACAGCGGCAAGCCGAACAACGCTGAACCAACAGCGCCAGCTGCCGCAAAAGCCCCTCTCACAGCTTTGACAGCAGCCCCTTAACAATTGCTGCTGCTTCTGCAGCAGTGGCGGCAGTGGCTGCATTCGCTGCGCAGCTGCCTAGTTGAGAGCAGGAAAGTCAACAGTGGACCGGGTGGGCGTTGGCGGCGGCGTCAGCATCCACGCCGCTCTCATAATAGTGTTGGGATTTACACAGTGCGTCGCAGCAGGGGTATAATGAGCCTCGGCAGTGGCAGCAGTGGTGCACACAGCCGCCCGCCGAATGATGCATCTCCGCAAGAACGCAGCTCGCAAGTTCCAAAGAACGCAGCGCTTCGGGGGGCAAAAAACAGTGCTTTGTTTCTTGGCCGTCTTGTGCAGCGCGCCGTCTCTGGCGCGTTGCGGTGCGCTTGCGGCGCAGCGCGCCAGGCCTTGTGCAATCCTGGTGGGCTGCGTGCTGCAGCTCAGGCAGGGCCCCACAGGGAGCCAGCCCAGCCCCAAAGTGATTGGCCCGTGCGCTCGCCGCCCTCCTAGCGCGGCGCGCCACCAATTGCCGTTCTTGTGGGTCCCTTTTCAAAGATTGTTTTGGAGCAAGCGGCCGGTAGTATATGCAGGGGTCCGGATGGGACTTGGAGGGACCCAGGCAGCCGCACCGTGGCGGCCGGCGGGCGGGAGGAGGGGCCGCGCGGCCGGCCGCGGGGGCTGCCTTTTGCACCGTTGCTCGGGCGCATTGATGGCCGCCGCACGGCACTCAAGGCCGCCGGCCGGCCGGCCGGCCGGCCGGCCGGTGCGTGCACAGTTGAGGACTGGAACGGATGCTTTGAGCCGGCAGATACGCGCCTCATATTCGTTCGGGCCTTGCGGCATTGAATCCAAGGGGTGAGTGGAAAGTGCCCTCATGGCTCAAAAGGGGGCATTGCAGAGGGCGCGCCCGCGCGTGCGAGTGCGTATGCTGCGTTAACCCTCGCCACGCCTGCACGCGCGCGGCGCCCCGGCCCTCAGTGCAGATATTGAATCGCCGCCGGCGCCCACCCCGGCCCTTGCGGCCGAGGCCCGCTGCGCCCGCAAGCGCCCCGTGGGGGCCGGATGCCCCCTGCGCCGCCACCCGGGACCGACCTCAAACAGTCGGATGCACCGGCCCCGCCAGCGGCGCGCGTAATACCGCAGCGGCGAGGCGCGCGCTGCACGTGCTCGATGTTTTCGTGAGTGGCGGCCCCGCGCCAAGAGCGCGCTCGCGACGCGGCCTGCGGCACAGGGCCACGGCCGTCTCAAACTCCTCGTCGTATGCAGTAGACATACATACACACATATATCACATGTAACCTTTTGAACCTCACGCCAGTTGCTGAACCTGGTTGTGGCCAACAACCAGGTGCTTGCGGCCACAAGCCCGCCTCCGCCCGTCCGCCCGGCCCGCCGGGCGCCAGCCTTGCGACGCGCGCCCGCCCGCCTTCGCACTCGCCGCCCGCGCTCAGTCGTCCTCGCCGCCGGCCGCCGTCGCCGCCGCGAGCGACGCTGAGCTGGCGCCCCGCGGGATGCCGGCGGCGTCGTCCGCCTGGAAGCTGTTGTTCATGTCCTTCCGCAGGCCGGCCAGCTTCAGCAGCGTGTCAAACAGGTTGCCCAAAAAGCCGACGTACATCAGCAGGACATACTGGTCCAGGAAGTTCATGCTGATGAGCGACGGGTGAGTAATGCCGTAAACGTGAGTCATGGTGACGTTCGGGTCCTTGTAGGCGTCGCCCACCACCGAGCCGCCATACCTGTTGGGTGTGAGGAGGAATCGAATGGTAGGGGCGCGCGTGTCGGGTGAGAGGCGCTGCTGTACCCCGATGCAGGGGGTGGAAGACGCAAGGCGGTCAAGGGGGACGGGGCCGGACGCAAAAGCGCCACAGTGGTGCTCAGAACAGCCAACTTTGGTCTGTACGCTCCACACTGCCGCTGCTGCTTTCTCCCGCATCTCCTCTCGCAAGCGGCGCAAATCCTGGACAACACACATACTATTCAGACACACACACACACACACACACACACACACACACACTCACACTCACTCACAAACACATTCTCTCACATGCACACACGCACACACGCACGCGCATGAACACCCACGCACGCACGCACGCACGCACACACACACACACACATACACACACAACAAAACTCGCAAAAAGGCAGACAGGCGCGCGCGCATGCCCTGCCTCCCCATCCCCTCACGCCCCCCCCCACCTGGCCTTGGAGAAGGCGAGGTTCTTAAACTGGTAGAGGTTGTTGCCGAAGTTGAACATGAACCTCGTGGCCAGTTCGGACCACGGCGGGCCCTGGAACGGCTTGGTCTGCAGGTTGAAGAAGGGGCTGAAGCCAAAGGTGAGCACCTCCTTGCCCTCCTTCTTGGCGGCCGCCATGATCACCTCGTACAGCAGCTTCAGGGTGCCTGGGGTGAATCCAGGGGAAGGGGGTTTGAGCGTGGGCGGAATGCAGGGTGAGCAGGGGAGGGGGTTTAAACGAGGCACTGGGGGCGGGCAGCAGCTGCTGACGCAGCACAGGTGCAGCACCCCTGGAAGCCGGCAGCGGGCGAGGAGAGCCAGCTTTGCAGCTGCCGCCGCTGCCTTGGCCCGGACCACAGCTGGAGCTCCCTTTGCGCTGCATCAACTGCCGACCTGCAGCCCGCAGCTGTTGACTCTTCAGCTTGCTGGCCATCAGCAACCCCCCAAAGGTGGGAAAGACGCCCAGTGAATCCCGGCCAGCATTCTCCCCCGCGCCGCACCGTGGTGCGAGTCGCGCCGCATGCGGTTGAGGGAGGTGACGTAGCCATACACCTTGCCGTCCCGCCACATCGGGTCCACCAGCACGAAACCCTCGATCCGCCTCGGCCCCGCCGCCGTGCTGCTGGTGCTGGACGCGTCGTCCGCGTCGCCGTCGCCGCCCGCGGGCGCGGGCGCGGGCAGGGTGCGCTCGGCGACGAACAGGCGCACGCCCTCGTCGAGGTGGAGGTTGTCGTAGTCGACGTGGCGGATGAACACGCGCAGCATCTGGTCCTTCACAGACTTCTGCTGCACCCAGTCGCCTGGCGGGCGGCAGGAGCAACGAGCACGCGCGGCGGGCACAGGAATCGGTGGGTGGGGGCGGTCGTGCGTTCTGGGAAGCGGCGAACTTCAGGGCGCCCAGCGCGTGCAAAAGCAGCTAAGGCACAGGCTGCGGGCGCCAGCGACCGGCGCTATGCAAAGGCGGGGCTGGCACTCAACTCAGAACCTGAAATCGGGTCCCCGCGCTCCCTCCCTCCCTCCCAACCGACGTGTGCCCCCACACCTTCCAAGAA